TCAGTCGCGTGGTCTGCGTTCCAGTCCTCGCCCTGCCTGTGGGATCTGGGGCAAGTGGTCCCAGCCTCTTAGAGCCAGTTTGTTCACATGCAAGAAGACATGGTATGATTGCCTTCATTGTGGCAGGACACGAAGAGGGTGTGAATTTGCAAAGCATTGTTCAGAGAACACTACCTGAGGCCTCCTCACTGTGGGGGTCCCTTTAATGTGGTCCCTGAAAGCAGACCTGTAAGTTAGAGGGGAAAAAAATCATATATACCTCAAAACTCACTGCCATTGAGTCAGTTCCGATTGATAGTGACCCTGTGGGACAGTAGACCTGCCTCTGTGGGGTTCTGAGATTGTAACTCTCCATGGACGTAGAAAGCCTCATCTTTCTACTGTGGAGCTGCTGGTGGTTTTGAACTTGCGGTTAGCAGCCCAACTCTTAATCACTGTGCCACCAGGGCTGCTCATAGCTACCAGGTATGTGTGTGTCACTGATATAACTTATAATACAAGCTCGTTAAATTTTGACCCCAGCCATGCTGTTCTCATTTCTGTGTATGAGGAGACTAGGTGTCAGTGAGGTGAAATGACTTACTTAAGGGCCCAGGAAAGCAAGTGGCAGAGTCAGAACCCAAGTAAAGATTCTGCTCTCACATGGCTTCTCGCAGCCAGCCTGCTATCAGACATGCCATTGCACGCTCGCAGGGTGCGGGTGGGAAGCGAGTGGGAACAGGAGCCTGGCCCTCTCCGGCTCTCTTTTCCCCCCCTTGTCCTGGAGACCCCCTCGAGCCACTGTGGTGGTGTTGTTAGGTGCTGGCCAGCTGTCTTAACTCAGGGCCGCCCCCTGCCCTGCTCCCTCCCCACAGTTGTTACACTGCAGTCCATTGGTGCACCACTGTGTCAATCCATCTCGCTCAGGCTCCGCCTCTTTTTCACTGACCCTCCGCTCTCGTGTATTTATTTATTTTATTAATCATTTTACTGTGAGGGGGGGCCTCTTACAAATCTTATAACAATCCATCATTCAATTGTATTAAGCACACTTGTGCATATGTTGCCATCAACATTTCCAAAACCTTTTCTTTCTACTTGAGCTCTTGGTATCAGCTCCTCTTTTCCCCTCCCTCTCCTACTTTCCCATCCTGTGAGTCCTTGATCAATTATATATTATTCCTGTTACTTCATGCCTTACACTGTCCCTTGTCTCCCTTCACCAACATTTCTGTTATTTGTTTCCCCAGGGGGGTGGAAGGACGGAGACTATCCAACCTTGTGATGGGTTCCCCCTTTCTCACCCTCCCCCTGCTTCCACCATCTCCCTACCTTCATGATATTGCTACTCCCATTACTGTTCCTGAAGGTTTAATCTGTTCTAAATTTCATGTGTCCAGAGCTCTTATCTGTACCAGTGTGTGTGCTCTGGTCTAGCTGGATCTGTAAGATAGAACTGGGTCCTGGTAGAGGGGGGGAGGAGTGGTATTCAGTAACTAGAGAAATGATGTTTTAGTAGTACTATATTGCACCCTGGTTGAATCATCCCTTCCTTGTAACCCTTCTGTGAGGGGATGTCCAATTGTCTACAAGGTCTCCACTTCAACCTCCCTCTTTCACGTGGACATAAATGTTTGTTTGGGATCTTTTGATAGCCGATACCTGATCCCATTGACCCTCGTGATCACACAGGTTGGTGTGCTTCTTCCACGTGGCTTATTTGCTTCCTTGCTAGATGGCTGCTTATTTAACTTGTAGCCTTTAGGACTCTAGATGCTATATCTTTTGATAGCTGTGCACCATCTGCTCTTCACATTTGCTTATGCACCCATTTTGTCTTCAGTGATCGTGTCCAGAAGGTGAGTATCAAAGAGTGCCAGGTTATTAGAACAAAGTGTTCTTGCGTTGAGGGAGTACTTGAATTGAGGCCCAATGTCCTTAAGACTTAACATATATGTACATTGGGCTCTATCCCTTTCATTATAAATTAATATATTTACATAGATACATGGCTATAGCTATACCTCTATAAATAGCTTTTGCCTCCTACCTCTTTCCTCTATTTCCTTTCACCTTCCTCTTGTCCCACTGTCATGCTCACCCTCCATTCAGCTCTCAGTAATTCCTCTCGGATTGATCAAACCCCACCGGGCTATCCCTGAGTTTGTTGGCTCCCTGCTCCCCCTCTTCTCCCATGTCCCCCCCAGGACCACAGTCCCGTTGTTTTCTCCTTGGGATTGTTTGTCCCTCCTATCTTATATAGATAGGCATAGGGAAAAAGGAGAAAAACAAAATCAAACAATAGATAGTTCCAGGTCTGGCTGCTGACCCTCATGAGTGTTTTCCAGTCAGGTCTGATGAGGTGCCCTGCCCCCCACCCCCCCTCCCCGCGTCAGAAGTTTATTTTCAGGATTCCTCAGCGATTTGATTACTTTGCTCCCCTTGCTGCCCTGTTGCACTCTTTGAGTTTCACCCTGTTGTGTATGGGGCAGACCAGGCACATTTTCCACAGTGCTCTCCCCCATAGCGCTTTGGGTCAGTGAGGGAATGTCATGTCTCACGGTGGGGCTAATCCTGTGGTCCTCTCTGCACTGGCTGCTCTGAGCAGGGATGTCGTCCCTGGTGGCTCGGTGGGCCAGGGTGAGGTTCTCTCTCTCCCTCTCTCCCAATTGGCACTCTTAGTGGTCTGGACACGCCCGCCACTCCCCCCAGGCTGTATCTTCTGTGCTCCCCTCTGTATTACATTCTTCTGGGGAGGGGCCCACGTAGGTCAGCTTGGGCCTAGCCCCATTGTCCTGTTAGTTTGCTTTTTCATGTCAGTGTCTTGCCCTCCATCAAAGCTTGGCGCTCCAGGATAGAGTCTGTTCCCTCTCTCGCTTTCCTGGACCCTCCACGTTTAAAGGTTGATGAGGTGACTAGCCTGGCCTGGCACCCCACAGAAGCCAGGGGCCTGTCTCCATGTGGCATGCTGTTGCACTGGCAGAGAGCTGTGGTGGAGAGAGCCCTGCTGAGATGCCGGCTTTCATACTCGCATTGGCCACTAATAGTTTGGGGAAAGTTTTTTTCTCAGATGTATTTCTTTTTCATCTTTATAACCTTGTGAAGGTTAAAGGTGATAAATAACCAGTGCCAGCAGACTGAAACAAAAAACAAAAGCGCCTGCTGCTGATTCGTGGGTGGCAGCAGTCTTCATAGGAGCCAGACTCAATCAGTCCTGTACCCATAGCTCACCCCTAGTGTGACCTGGGGCAAGTGGGGCACTGTTGCTGGGCAGAGAAGTGGGTGATCTCCCAAGGCTGCTTTGAGCTCTATATCCTGTGGTTCTCCATGTGTTTGTCTCGTGATTAAAATAACTGGTAGATATTTGTTTAACAACCCCAAAAAAGAACAGAATTACGACTACGAGGAATTACTGAAACCTGAATGAAGGCTGAACATGACAGTGGGGCAAGAGGAAAGTAAAAGGAAATAGAGGAAAGAAATAGAAGCCAAGGGGCATTTATAGAGGTCTAAATACAGGCATGTACATATGTATAATGCTAGGGCAATAGATCTATGTATGTATATTTATGTTACATAATCAAGGTAGCAGACAGAAATTGGGCCTCTATTCAAGTACTCCCTCAACGCAAGAAAACTTTGTTCTAATAACATCTTCCCGACACAATTGCTGAAGACAAAAGGGTGCATACCCTGTTTCCCCGAAAGACATCCCCCGAAAATAAGACCTACTTACAGTTTTGCCTCTCACTGAAATACAAGGCACCCCCCCGAAAATAAGACCTCCCCGAAAATCAGGGGAAGCAGGGTAGAAGTTAAACAAACGGCCATCTAGCTGAGAAGCAACGAAGCCCACATGGAAGAAGCACACCAGCTGTGTGATCATGAGGTGTTGATGGGATCAGATATCAGGCATCAAAGGCCCAGAACAAAAAATCATATCAATGTGAATGAGAGGGTGTGCAGAGTGGAGACCAAAAGCCCATCTGTAGACAATTGGACATCCCCTTACAGAAGTGTCACAAGGAAGAAACAAGCCAGTCAGCGTGCAGTACAGCACCGATGAAACATACAACTTTCCTCTAGTTCTTTAATGCTTCCTCTCCACTACTATCGGGATCCCAATTCTACCTTACAAATCCGGCTAGACCAGAGCATGTACACAGGTACAGATCAGAGCTGGAAACACAGGGAATCCAGGACAGATAAACCCCTCAGGACCCATAATGAGTAGCAATACCAGGAGGGTAAGGGGGAGGAAAGGGGAAATCGGCCACAATGATCTACCTATAACCTCCTCCCTGGGAGCTGGACAACAGAAAAGTGGGTGAAGGGAGACATCGGTCAGTGTAAGACATGAACAAATAATAATTTATAAATTATCAAGGGGGAGGAAGGGAAAAAAATGATCTGATACCAAGGGCTCAAATAGAAAATGTTTGTAAAATGATGATGGCAACAAATGTACAACTGTGCTTGACATAATGGATGGAAGTATGGATTGTGTTGAGTTGTTATAAGCCCCCAATAAAATGGTTTAATAAAACAAAAAAAGTATGAATGAAAAACTCTTATCCTTGCCCACTCACTGATCCCCAAATGTAATACTTGTAAATTATTGGTTTTCTGTGCATATTAAACCAATATGTATATAAGTATTTATGATATACACATCATACGTGTGTATACATGTGCATTTGTATGTGCTATTTGCCAGTGAGGCAGCTCCAACTCAAGGCCACTTTATGCAACCCCCGAGCCACCCCACGACCCTGGGCAGGCGGGCCTGAGCCCACTGTTAGAGCTATTGAATCCTGCTCCCACTCACTGTGGGTCTCCTGCTTTCCGCCCGTCTGTATAGCTAGGCGCTGAACGCCCTGGAGTTCACTAACCATACCATGCTGTGGCTTGAGTCTTTCACTTCAATCTAGTTTTGTCCTTTTTACAGTGGTCCTGTGAGTCGTCTGTCTGCTTACAGGAAATACACGTATCCATGTTTGATTTTCGGACCTTCTTTCCAGGAAAAGAAGAAAAAGAAACACCGAGACAGGAAGTCATCTGACTCGGACAGCTCCGGCTCCGAGAGCAACGCCGGCAAGAAGGCCAGGCACGCGTCAAAAGACAGCAAGGCGGCCAAGAAGAAGAAGAAGAAAAAGCACAAGAAGAAGCACAAGGAGTGAGAGCGGAAAGGAGAGAGGGCTGGGTGAGAGCACGAAGAACCAGATCCTTAGTCCCGAAAGTCGAAGCTCCAGTTGTGAGAATAAGGCCTCCCATCCCATTTACTTCTCTCCCATGAGAGGCGGCTTCCCCAAAGGCAGCAGGCAGGGTTTGGGAGTTCCATGTCCAGAGCAGCTGCCTGATTGAGTTTGCTTATTGCTCCTGGTCTCTTTGCAAGTGACCTCTGCACCCTACCCATGCGCTCACCCAACACCTTTCAGCAGAAGAGCCCTCGCCTCTCCAGCTGCCACCGCCACAGCTGCGTTCCGAGTCCAGCCCAAGCTTGAGCCGCAGCTACTGCTGTGGAGGGGAGTCTCACTGGTCGGAGAAGAACAGAGCCACCTGCTCTGTCCCGGGCTGGCCGGTGGGGTGAGCCTGGTCAGAAGTGGTGCTCTTTTTCCATTCTCCCCAACGTGGCTCTACTCTGCTACAAGTGACAGCCGTGAAAAAGCCCGCCAGAAAAAGACCGTTTGCAGTGACTGAGTTTGTGTGTGGCATTCCTCCAGACGGCTGAACCAGCCAGCCCCAGCCAAGATCATTGTTCTACTTTGTACTCATTACTGTGCGTGTTAATCAGTTCCCCTTGAGACCTCTGCTTAAGTTCCTGGCATTTGATGGAAATGTGTTTGGTTTGACACTAAAAGTTCTTATTCCTTTAATCCCGCTCTTCCTGGGTCATTTACAGATTTGAAGTCAGTGAGCCTGCATGGGTGGACAGACATTCTGTGTTACCCCATATATTGGAGAGGTCCAGGGACACCAGCAGGCCTCATAAGCCTTCCTCTGTAGTGGTCAGATGACACACACACACACACACACACACACACCCCAAATTGGGTGGATTAACTATAAAAATGTAAAACCGTGAGTAGGGCCTAGGGCATAGGCTAAGCAGTCACTGCCAGTGGTCATCTTCCACCACCGTGATGGAAACTGTGACCTCAGCGTGAGTTCTAACAAGAGAGTGACCTGAACATGCCACAGAAAACAAATGCCCACCAGATTCAAGAGCATTTGGTGAAGGGGCAAAGCCCCTTCCCTGAGCTGTCCAGGTGGAGAAAGGGCGCTGTAAAAACAAGTACAGGTGTAGATGTTTAACACTGATTGCATATGGTGACTGCTGACTCCCACTGTCCCTGGGACTGGCCATCCCAGTCTCTTGGCAAATGCTTCTTGATCCGGGCTCCTTCACGCAGTCATCTCTGTCCATGGTGTGGCGCACAGGGGCAACTTAGACATTCAGAAGCAGGTCACCAGAGGCAAAAAGGCAAGTGAGTGGCCGTGAGCTCTCCTTTATTGACCTCAGAGCACCTTGCAGAGACAGTTAAAAAGCAAGCATACACAGTGGGAACCGGACCAGGCTGATGCCACCTGATCCCAGGACTCCCCAACCGAAGTGAATTTATACAAAATGCCAGAGGGGCGCAATGAGGCAGTCGGGTGCCGAGTCCAGTGGTCGCTGTTGGCCGAGCAGTCCGTCAAGCCTCTTTCTCGTAGGTGCGAGTGCTGACCACACTGCCGTGGGAAAGTGTCTGGAAGGAGAGACAGAGTGGGGCAGAGATGGGGGCCCTCCACACTGAAGGAGAAGACCCTCTGCGTTCATCATAAAACTCTTCTTCATTTACTAAGCGTTTATCACGTGCCAGGCACTTTGTATATATTTTTTCAGATCCTTATGCCACGTCTTTAAGACAGGCACACAAATTCTCCTTTTCAGAGATTTGAGATCATGAAACATGAAGGGAATTGACTTGGTCAGGATCCCCCGGTATTTCTCTCTGCTTGGCATCATTCATCCTTGGTGCTTTGGATAGTGCCTAGCACATAGCAGACAAAGAAAAACCGCACTGCCACTAGGTCAATTCTGACTCACAGCAACCCCATAGGACAGGGTAGAACTGCCCCTATGGGTCTCCAAGACTGTGACTGTTTACAGGAATAGAAAGCCTGCTTTCTCCCGAAAGAGCTGGAGGTTTTGAACTGCTGGCTCTGCGGGTAGCAGCCCAGTGCATAACTGCTCTACTACCACTACCAGGGCTCGCAGTAAGACAAACAGGTGAATCAAAATGTCTGGAAGCTCTTGGGAAGGGACTGAGTCAGGCCATTAATTCTTCATTCCTTCTTCCCCTAAACTAGGGCCAGAGCCTCGTTCCTTCCTGGGAGAGTAGTCTAATTGCCAGTACTTGGTCTGGCATGCCTGTGTTTGTAGCTAAAAGATCTTCGTTCCCAGGAGTGAGTTCCTGCCAGTAGGCAGGTACGCGGAGAGCACTGAGCAGCCGGGCACTGACAGGTGGGACTGAAATGGTCGAAAAGACAGCACTGTCAACTAGAGACTCCGCCTCCAGCTGTGTCCCTTGCCAAAGCCTTTGACTGTGACGGTGCACTCGGGAAGGGGAGTGCAGTGCAGGCGAGGAGAACCTTTTGTAGAGGGTCTGAGGTCAGCTGTGGCCCTGTTTTCTCACTCACTGGGGCCGAGGCAAGGTGATTGATGGAGGAGGAAAGGCAGGCCATGGAGCCACCTACGTCCTTCCTCCCAGCACACGGGGCCTGCTGCTAGACGATGCTACCTCCCGCACACTTCCCAGCAGCCCTGCAAGGTGAGTCATATTTACACCCACTTAATGGTTCCATCCCAGGACGGGCCTGCTCACGGTCACAGCCTGTCTACTGAGAGTTGAGCCTATGACGGACGGACGGTCTGAATCCAGAGCCACCATAGAGAACATGCCCACCTAACGTCATCCGATCCCAGTTCCAGGGTTCCCCGAAAGGACAACAGCTGGAACCAGTTAGGTGGGGCTCCCCGGTTACCCATCTTACCAGGATGAGCTTCCCATCACTTAGTTCCCGGACAAGCGTCGTCACCTGCCCATCCCACTTCTGCGTGTGGACGAGTTTGCCGCCATCCAGCGTCACAGTGGACTGTGGAAAGAGGAGAGGCCTGATCTGAGATCCCAGCTAGGACTGGAGCAAAACACACTGGCCTCTGTTCATGGGGCCTGGGAAGAATCAGCCTCCGACCCAAGCTAGGGATGACAAGAGCCACCGCACCCCAGCTCTGCGCAGGCCTGGTTCACGGCCAGCCTCTGCACCATTGCCTAGACTACGGGAAGGGACTCCTTTTTGCCAGAGGAAATTGCATTGCCCGAAACCCCTCAGCTTCACTACAAGTTTGTGTTTTGAGTTGACTTTTGGTTGTTGCGCATTCAGAAACCTTTTGCTGTGACCACACTTTTCCCAGCTCCCACAAGGAGTTATGCAACTGAGCCCCTGCGTCTCGGCCACAGTTTAAGCAGCTGTGGTCTCAGAGCCCCAGCGCCTCTTGAGATAACGGGGCATTTCCCGGTGCGAACAGTCATGCCCCTGGTAGACTTCTTATCCCCTCTTGTCATTCACACCATGTGACCCCATCGGGCAAAAGGCAGTCCCAAAGGAAGCAGTTGCAGGGTCCCGGGGCTAAGTGCCTGGGAAGTGTTCCACTTCTCAAGGTCAGATGCACACTCGGTCCCTTGGCCCGTCCACCTGCATCACCTGGTTCTCAACTGGCAACTCTCTCTCCTAGGCATCTCTTCTCTAGGAATTTGGGGGCTCTGTGCCAGCCTATGGGATAGGGTGTGGGCCAGGCTCTGTGTGTGTGTGTGTGTGTGTGTGTGTGTGTGTAGGGGCTTAACTCCTGGTGCACTCCCACTACCACGACCTTCCTCATTCTCCCCAGCTTTCTGCCCATCCACTCAGGGCCCTCAGAGCAGTTCTTGGGTTTACATTTGTCGCCTTGCCCCTTGGCAAGAAGGTGGGCAAGTCCTAGGAGGTAGGAGAATGTGGTGGGACAGCCACCTTTACCCCAAGCTGGCTGCCAGCCTTGAAACCATCTCCAATCTGCTGCCAGCCAGTGTGCTCTGGGTTGTGCTCAAACTCTTTGTTCTAGGCAAGGCAACCAGACACCCACTCCACCAAAACTGAGGGGCCAGGTCACAGGGTGAAGGTGGGGAGATCACAAAGAGGTCAAATGCCCTTAGTTCTCTCTCACTCCCACCTGGCCCCAGGGCTTGGTCGGATGCCTGAGACAGCTGCCAAGACAGCCACAAGCAGCCCAAGACTGAGGGTCTGAGGCTTGGTGGAGGGAAGACTTTACAGATACACCCAAGACAGTGATTGCCCCACCTGGGAACCTTGTAGCTTGTCATGCCTGTCAACTGGCAGCAACAGAAGATATTCAAGGTCACTGCCAAGTCCAGGAGTTGGAGGTTGGAGAAGAGGAAACATCGGAGTAGGTCTCAGCCTCTTGTTCCTAGCTGCCGCCACCTCTGTTGAATGACCTTGCCACTGATCGGAGGGCCCTGACTTCTGGGCAGCATTCCCAAGTACTTGGGTCACAGCCGTGACCACATAACTCCCCAACTATGGAAAGGGGACAGGAACGCAGAGCAACTGCACGCCTTCCACAAGGTCACCCAGCTGGAGCGGGAGTAGACATTGATGGCTCCATGCCGCCCGCCAGGCTCTTAGCCTGGTATTCCCAGAGGCAGCCAGTGGATGCTACTGACAAGTGAGCAAAGCAGAACTTGCCCGCACCTGGCTCTGGGGACGCTGCAGCACTGCCCAGGGCTTTCGGAACCTTGTTCGTTGCAGGCCCCTACGATAGCCGGCCCCTAGGGGTCCTCTCGCCCTGCACTCAGCATCCCCTTCCCAGGCTCACCTTGACCTTGCGGTCATCTGCCGTTGTCTCATCAAACTCCACTCCCAGTTTGAAGCTGATCTCCGTGTTCTTAAAGGTGCTCTGTGTCTTTACGGTGATGTTTTCCCCGTTCACTTCAATGATGGTGGTAGGCTTGGTCATATTAGCCACCTGTCTGGTAGCAAACCCCACACCTGAGAAAAAGGGGAAGGTTACCAGGACAATATTTGTACATGAACGGTACACATTTTGATTCATTTATGCAAACCGTGCAACTCGCGGGCCAGAGCGGAAAGAGGCACGGACGAAGAGCTCAAGGATCAAGTCTTGGGCTTGAGAATGAGGACGCAGAGGACTAGAGCTTCCAAAGCCTCTGAATGCCCATATGTAACATTCTCTTCCCCATTGCTGTGTGCAGCGGAGAGACCACAGCAAACCAGTGGCAGTCTGCGATTCAAATACCCTGCCATTCACAAGGTTAGGTTAGCAGTCTTGCCATAAAAACCTTTCTGAAACAAAAGCACCCAAATATGAAGCTCTCGTTACTCCACGTAGCTCCTATGTAAGGCGATCTACTTCTGAAGACACCCTTTCCATCCTTAACTCCTCCCCCAAGAATCTCATGCTCTTCAATTTACACATAAAATGGTAGCAGTTTGGGCATCTTGAGGGGGCTCAAATGATGTACCTTTGAGATATTCTTTGAATTTGGGGAGCAGAAGGAAGGGGCAAGATCAGGGCTGTAGGTTAAATGGCAGAGAGGGTCCCAATGCAATTCTCAGAGGTCAGCCCTCCCCAGGATGGGAACAAAACTCAACACGACTTTCTCCCTGCTAATGCGTTTGTCAACTTTCTCAAAACTTCCAGAGAAGCCCCTGTGATCACACTGTCTTTGGAGGAACAAAAAAAAATCAAGATTACCCCTGGGAGTCCTGAGCTGACTTCTCTGCCTTGAATTTAACCGGCCCATTGGCTCAACTGGGAAGCGCCTGTTTTGATTAGCGTTTTTTTACGGCACCTTAAGGAGCAAGACTAGACCTTCACTGCTCACAGGCAGAGACGTGCTGAAGCACGTGGTGTGTGGAACAAACCCGAGCGTGTGTGAACTGGGGCCCTCATGGCACTACTCTCTGACCTAGCCTTGCACGGAGTGCTTTCTGTGTGCCGGGAGCCGGACACGCACGATGGTCTCCAATCCTTTCTGCTTCCCTGAAGGACCGGCTCCAGTGTCCGCATGCCGTAACTGACACAGCGCTCAGGGTCAGGGCCACACCTCTGGGAGCCATCTCCAGAACTGTTTGACTCCGAAGCCACCTAATTGTTGGGTCTCCCGCAGCCCATGGCTGGAGTGCAGCACTTCCCTCTAGGATACCACCCCCCCACCCCCGCCAGCAGCTTTCCAACCACTGGCTCAGGAGGAACAGGCATGTGAGCTGTGAGAGCCAGAGGAACAAGACATTTCCAACTGGGGAAGCAATCGGCCCAAAGCCTCAGGAGCACCGGTGTCCTCATCCCCATAACATGGTGGGATGCGTGACGCTTTGCGTCATTTTCCCTGGTTCACTTCTCAAGAGGCCAGCAACAAGTGTGTGTTCAAAGCCCTCTCATGCATGATTCAGAAGGTAGATAGAAAGCAGGGAGTGTTTGCACAGCTTAAGAAGAAGCCTACGGTGATATTGACAATACGCGCAGGCAGGACTCCACTTCTGGTTCCCCAGGGGACTCCTACCCGGAACCCAAGCATGGTGTCCCTGGGCACTGGGGAAACCCCTAAGGTGTACCATCAATGAGTGAGGAAGAGAGAACTTTTAAGTAAAGCCTTTTACCTTTTTCAGGTTATAGCTTCTATGGCCATCTGCCCTTTGGCCTCTAACCCTCCAACGTGAGTGCCTTGCCCCTGCCCTCAGCAACCTGTGCTGAGCTGTGGTCTAAGACTGGCGGGGTGGGGGTGGGGGGCGCGGATGCAGGCCCAGGGATAAGTGTGTATATGTAAGTCCCCAGATGTGCCTGCTACCTCTGACCCAGTACCCAGCTCCTGATCATGAACCCATCTTGGTTCCCCTGCCCCAGCAGGTGGGGAGGGGACGGGACGGGACAGGACACTCATCTGTTCCGTCCAACAGCCCTGAAGCATAGGTTTTACCGCCTTTGTTTGCAAAGGAGTATCAAGTCACTTGCTCAACTTCAAACCTGGATTTGAATTTAGGATTAACTGCCTCCAGCATGTTTAGAGCCAGCCAGTCACACACACCCCAACACTGCTGGTGTGGGATTTGCCCCAGGTGCAGAGTGTTTGGGGAAGGGAACTACTACTGGGTAAGTGACTGAGCCAAGAGAAGTAAACCGTGGACTGATAAGCGTTTAAGACTAGGGAAGAGCTATGTGCTACTAAGAAATGAAGCTGTATTTATTCAGAAGTCAAGAGCCCCTCTTCCTGCTGGGCCTCGGCCTTTCTGTACAGTGAGAAGAGCAGGCTGGATGGAATCTCATCTCCTAATAGAAGGAGCTGCCCAAAGGCAGGTCTTTAGGGAGACCAGTTCCCTAGTCCCAAGTTGGGACAGAATGCTAGAACAAGAGTAGTATGAATGTTGAAGCCCAGCCCTTTCATCCAGTGGCTGCATTGGGGTAATTCCAACTTCTCCAACAGCTGCCCACCCCCCACCCTGCTTCAGCAAGGTTGGGCTGCCTTCCTGAAGTCACTGCAGAGTGCCCAGCATAGCACAGGTCCTGTTTCATAGAAACAGGGTTCGGAGGAAAGGTGAGTGGTGCCAGAGTGGGCCTCCCCACTCCTTGGAGCCCTCTGCCCTGGGAGGACAACAGGGAGCACGGCTCTTGACTGTGAAGATGTGCCTGCTTTCCCCATCCCAGTCTGAGGGTGTACGGTAGTGTTTTTCAAAGTGGCTGAGACCAGCCTCTACCCCCAAAAGATCCACTGGGGAAACAAAACACAAAAGCTCACTGCCTTGAGTCATCCCAACTCATATCGGCCCTGTAGGGGCACGGTAGAACTGCCTCTTAGTTTCCTAGGCTGTAACGTCTGGAAGAAGAAAGGCCCATGGTTTTCCCGTGGAGTGGATGGTGGTTTCCGACTGCTGACCTTGCAGTTAGCAGCCCAACATGTAACCACTACGCCACCGGGGGGCTCCTGGTGGGAAGATGGGGGGCAGAGGTAGGCTGCACAACCAAATACTTAGCTCATAATCCAGGATACAAGGTAGGAAAGATCCAGGAGGGCTGCAGAAGCAGATACCTACATTTTATCGTGGATTGTGGGCTATATTACAAATGTTTTTAATGCCGTGGAGGGTGCCAAGTAATTTTGTCTTGTTTTCCTGAAAAGGGAGCAGTAGTACAAGTCAGTTTGGGAGCCTATGGTTTGGACTGATCTCTATGCTACAGACTTTGGAGAAGGAATATTACCCTCTCCACCAAAGCCCAAACCAGGAAGGAGGGGGGTGGAAGTCAAAGGGGTCAGCAAACCTCCCACACATCCAGGTCTAGCGTGCTGGGGGGAATTCCACATTACAGATCTAGAAACCTAGGTTTTCATGTATGCTCTGCTATGACATTTCTATGAGTTTCCGCTAGAAACCTAGGTTTTCATGTATGCTCTGCTATGAAATTTCTATGAGTTTCCGCTCTGTCTAGACCCCTTTTCCTGTCTGTTGAACTAGGCAAGGTGTGGAGATCCCCAAGGTTCTCATCTTTATTCTTAACCATCCCTAATAACACACAGCTACCCCTAGACCCTCCCTGCCTTGAATAGGGACCCTTGTTCTGGGACCCTCTGGCACATGCTGTAGTCCAATGGCTTTCTCCACTTGACCCTTCTCGGAGGGCTTGCTAGAATAATCCCCAGGTGGTACAAATGATTAATACTCTGGCTGCTAATTTGAAGGTCAGAAGTTCAAGATCACCCAAGGGAGCCTTAGGATAAAGGCCCAACATCCACTTGGGAAAAAGACAGTTCTGTGACACACATGGGATCACCATGAATTGGAGTCAGCTCAAAGGCAACTTGTTTTTTACAGGGTGGCTGAGCAGTGGGGCGAGGTAGTGTGCTCAGCTTGTGACTGACCGCCCCCCCCACACACACACCCGTCCTGGCACCGGGCTTCCTGGTGTTCAAGAGGGTACCTTCCACGGCAATCCTTCCCAGCACGGGTCGGGTCGGAGTCACTATGAAGGGCTCTCCTCGCACACCGGGCTCAGGCTCCCCGCGGGCGGTTTCCCTCCTAGGCATGCATACTTGAGGCGGTGGCACACTCTCCGTCCTCCCCAACCCCTGGCGATGCTCAGCTCTCCTAAACACCATGGCTGCGAAGGTACTTTCCCCCATGAAGCCTCCCACCGCCTGCCATGAATGCTCTCCTGTTACCCAAACCTCCTTCCCCGCGCTGGCGCATCTACCCCGCTTCCTGGAAAGCCCTGGTGGCGCAGTGGTTGCACGTTGGGCTGCTAACTGCAAGGTCCGCAGTTGGTAACCAACAGCCGCTCTGCGGGAGAAAGGCATGGCGTTCTTCTACTGTCGGGCAGGTCGATCCGGACCTGGAAGCCGTTATGAGTCGGAATCGACTGGAAGCCAGGTCCATCTGCCTCCTCCCGGCACCGCCCTAGAGAAGGATCCCCGCTGCTGACTCCGACCACGGAAGCTCCCTTCCAGCAGGCGCCCGCGAGCCCCGCCTGGGCTGCCACGGCCGCGCCCCGCTGCTTCCCAACCTTGACCAAGAGGGATGCAGCCCGAGCGCGGGGCAGCCCCCCGGGCCGGAGCGCGGCGCTCGGCCGCTGCCAGCCCAGCAGCCCGAGCCCCGCTCACCGAGCGACTTCATGTAGTCATCGAAATTCTTGCTGTCCACCAGTCTCCAGGTGCCCGCGAACGCGTCTGCCATGGTGACACGGGAAGGCGCCGGCAGGAAGAGCAGCCACGAGGACGGCCGGCCGCATGCGAGGACTCCGGAACCCGCGGCTCCCGGCGCGCGCGCCGCTTTAAATAGACCGCTGGTCACGTGGCGCGATGTGGCCCAAGCCCCCGGCTCCCGAAATAGGAAGCCCGCCCTGGGCTGGCGCGCGCCCGCGGGAGCCCCGCCCCGACCCCGGGCAGCGGGGGAGGGGACGGGAGGGGAGGGGGCCGGCTGGGCGGCCCGCGGGCCTGAGTCAGCTCTGGGGCCTGGCCGGCCGCTCCCCGCCCTAGCCTGCGAGCCCTCGGCCGTTTCGGAGGAGGAGGAAGCGCGTCCCGGGCTCCAGTCCTCCAGTCCCCGGCCCCGCTTGGGGTCAGAGCGCAGGCGGGACCCGGGGAGAAAGTCACCTCGCCCTTGGGCCCCCGCCCCCACGGGGGAAGGCTTTCCGGGATTCCTGCGGCGCAGGCATCCTCGCCCTCCTTCGGCAGGTGAAGGGCCGGCGGCGGAGAGGGGACCGGAGGGACGCGGCCACCAGAGGCAGGAGGTCGGCTGCCGCCCGGGTGGCAAGCCTGCTCTAGCTGACTCACAGCCTGCGCTTGCCTGCACCCGACTGGGTACAGCCCAGGACCTCCTCCGGCCCCAAGGGGGACTCTCTTGTCCCTGTCCCACACGTGCTCACCCCACCCCAGGAATGTCTCCTGGGCGCCTGTCTGCAGAACACCCATCTGCCTTTCCGACCTCTGAGCACGGCCGAGCCTTTCCTGGGGTGTTCCTGCACCCCTAACCCCAGCGGATGTTCTGCCCCGCAGCCATCTCCCTCCTCTCCACCGCACGTCCCCTGACCTCCGAGGGCGCCTGCGCTGCGCGGGCCTGGAACTGTGGCTCTGCGGGCTCACTGGGCCACGTGCGCTTTGTAAGTAGTCTCCCTGAACTGTCAGAGGCTGCCAACCCACCGCCTTGGAGTTGGTTTTAGACCCTCCGGGACAGTCGGACTGCCCCCACGCACTGAAGGGAGCACCTTTTCCACTTGGAGTGGTTGGTGGGTTCAAACCACCCGTCTCTCAGGCCCTGTGGAAGCACTTCAGCGCCGCCCTGTCGAGGCTCTGCTGGTTGGTGAGGAAAGGGAAGGGTTTGTTCATTCATGCCTTCCTTCGTGGGCACTCACTTCCTGCCCAGCTCTGTGAGGGCCTGGAGAGACAGCCCTGAATCAGACACACCTCCACACAAGTCAAGGCAGGTGAGGGTCGGGGACTGTTGGGGGAGCTCAGGGAAGGCTTCCCAGGAGAAATGGTTGCAGGAAGGAGGTGGACACGTGGGTCGTTCCCACAGTGTGGCGACCCTCTCCCCAGAGCCTCTGCTTCTCCATGGGGAAGTCGATGCCATCTGTCCTTCCTTTCTCCCCCTTGGCTGTCCTGGGCAGAGGCCAGGGAGGAAGAGTCCTCTCCACTCAAAGTCTTGGTTTCCTTTGCAGAAGTCCAGTTGCCAGAATCAGAAGTCTATTTCTGCCAAAGCTACAGGAACAGGCCTCCGGGCTGGGCAGGGAGCCCCAATGACCTCACGACTGGAGCAGGTGCAGGGATGTGTGTGGTTTCTAATTCAAGGTCACTGCTTTTAGGCCCAGCCTCTGCTCTCATACAGAGGGACCCAGGCTGAGAGACCAGTATTGTCTCCTTCCCCCATGCCGTGTAACAGTGAGGAGTCTGGGCTGGCAGAGCCGCTGACCGGAAGATCAGCGTTCCAGTCCTGATGCCACCATGTAAATGGTGTGTCCTTAGGTAGTTCAGGTCCACCCCTGCACCGGAATCTGGATCTTTATCTGTCAGGTGGAGATAATATCAGTATTTACTTCATGGAGTTATTGAGGATCACATGGGAATATGCACTTTAAAATGCTGGACATGGTTGACTTAGTAAATGCTTGCTGCCCTGGCAAGGTAGGAGATTCTCCTCCCCCTGGTTAGGGCAGGGCACCTGAGTCTGGTCTCACCCAGCCCCTTGTACCAGGGCAGAAGGCTTTGCTGCTGGAATCCGCGGCACTGATTTCTGAGACGGGATTAGGTATGCTACAATTGTGAGGTGGTCTTGAGACCTGGCGTTCAATTTGAGACACTGGGTCAGCCCCTACCTTTCCTGCCCTGCCCCCCTATCCTCAGCATGCTTAGACCCTGCCATCAAGATTGGCACCTAAGCCTCGCCTCTCCATCCCTCCGAGTCCCTGAGTCCCTGCATCCTCCTTGCCGGGTGTACTTTCCACATCCGGGTAAGAGGAGCTTCCCCCTCCTGCTCCCCTTTCTGGCAGAGCCAGATGTGGCTTTAACTTCAGGCAGGCAGCAGAGCCAGTCCTTGCCCAGAGCAGCATCTCCTCAGCCCTCGCCCGATAATGATGTCACTGCTCTGTGTTTCCACGGCAACTACAGGCTGGGATGGCAAAGAGGAGGGAGGAGTCAATAGGGGAGAGCCAATGAGCTGGGCGGGCAACACCGGGTGATGGGGGGTGGGGGTGGCCGGGAGAAGGCAGCCAGCTCTGTATCCTCAGCTCTGCCCTGGACCCTCCCTGCTGACCCAGGGATGCAGTGACCCTCCTTTTGCCCTTTTAGAGCCTGATTCTGTGCATGCTCACTGCCCTCCTACCCCAGGCCTTGTAACTGGGAACTTTTCAACGTTGCTGGGGATGGTGGTGGGGCTCTCGTTTTCAGCTGCCACTGAGCCTTAGACAGCCCTGCTCTCCACACCTTCCCACCCCCACCCTTGGTCCCTTGTGTATTTGGAAGTGACTATCTCCGGAAAGGGACTTGAGGTCTAGACTTAGGCCATTCTCATTAGAGACCCTGAACAAACAAACTCCCTTTGTCCTCCAAAGTCACTTTCTCCTTTAAGAGGATTGTGGTGAGGATTAAGAGATAGGATGTGGAATGCATAACACACCCTCCACTCAATCAGCGTGGAGGCAGGGACTCCCTGCTATCTAGTCAATGCCGACTCACAGTGACCTGCTGTTTCTGAGACCAGTTGCTTATGGGAGTAGAAAGCCCAGCCTGTCTCCTTTGGAGCTACTGGTGGTTTTGAACTGTTGCCCATAGGGATTGCAGCCCAACTTGTAACCCCTGCACCACCAGAAGTTGTCCCCAAAGTCCAGAAAGAATGAGTCCATTGGTCCTTGGAGTCCCGGTAGAGTCACTCTGAGTCCGCAGTGAGTCGACAACAGTGATTTGAGTTGTTTGCTGTTTGCTTTGGAGTTCCTGGATAAAGAAAAAAGGCCTCACAGAGTTATCCAATGTCTGTCAGACAGTGCGGGGAAGTCTCCTCCTCTCTCCTTCCCCCCTCTGTTTCTCTAAATAATTCATGCACTTCACCCATCTCCGTGGAGACTTCCTGTGGCCTGGCACTGCACTGCACGGGAATCAGGAAGGGGGGAAATAGCCAAAGCCTGTGTCCTCACCAAACTCCCCGTGAGGGGGATTGCAGCCGTAATGGTGGAATGGATTGTTCTTTCTGCCTCTAGGAAGTTTGCTTCCCTGTTCTGGGGAGTTCCAGATATTCTGGGCCACAGAGAACAGATATGGCAAAAGTAGAGGTTTGCTCAACACCAACTTCTTTCTGAGAACTGCATGGCCGTGGTGTCAGTCTCCGTGCCACCCCCCAGAGGAAGAACAGTGGCTCTCCTTGTCCTGAGTGGTGGGGGGGAGGGTTGGAATGGGGTGCAGCCCAGAGCAGAGGGCCAGTTATATAGGCTTTCCCAGAAACCATCTGTCCTTCCTGTGGGTGGCTGGATAATGTCCAAACTCTTTGGTCTCATCAGTTTCTTGCCCGTGATTATTAACTGAGTTCGCGATTGAAGAGGCCAAGCGTGGTTGTTGAGCCATGTCACTAGAACGTGGCTCCTCCACGACATTTTCAGTAGCTGACATTTCGGAGCGGGTGGGCCCGGGCATCGCCAGGCCTTTCTTTCATGGCTCATTGTTGTTGTTGGGTGCAGCCCAGTTGGTTCTGACTCACAGCGACCCTGTGGACAACTGAATGGAAACCCTGCCCGGCCTGCGCCATCCTCACAACTGTTCCCGTGTGTGAGCCCAGTGTTGCACCCCTGTGTCAGGCCATCGCAGAGAGCCTGCCTCGAGGGCAGCGGTTGGTTCTCAACCTGTGGGTCGCAACCCCTTTAGCGGTCGAACAACCCTTTCACCGAGGTCGCCTAAGACCATCGGAAAACACATGTTTCTGATGGTCTTAGGAACCCAGATACTGCTCCTCTATCCGTCTCCAGGTGGGTCCGCCCACGTGCAGATATGCTGATCTCATGAGAAAGAAGCTATCTCAACCGTCATACTGCCCTTGGCTTTGTACGCATACTGTCGTAAAATATAGCAATGTTGTTTACTGTTATATTAAGGCTGTTGGCCATGCTACACCATGCTTCAAGACAAAATTTCATTTATTTGTCATTAGAAATAAATATTTCACAATATAGAATTACATATTGTTTTTGTGATGAATCACTATGCTTTCATGATGTTCAATTTGTAACAATGAAAATGCATCCTGCATAGCAGATATTTACATGATGGTTCATAACAGTAGCAAAATGACAGTGATCAAGTAGCAACGAAAATAATTTGATGGTGGGGGTCACCACCACATGAGGAACTGTATGAGAGGGTCGCAGTGGCATTGGGAAGGCTGAGAACCACTGCTCTATACCAAGCCTGGAGTCTTTCTCCAGCGACTGAGCTCTCCTGGCCACCTGGCCAAAGCACATGAGACAAAGCCTCACCTCCTGGCTTCTAAAGAAGCATTCTGGCTGTACTTCTTCCAAGACAGATTTATTAGTTCACAGCATTCCTGGGCGGATTTGAATCTCCCACCTTTCGGTGAGCAGTCAGGTGTGCTGACCATGTGTAACACCCAGGGACTTTGTGGGAGAACCAAGACTGGCAAGGCGCAGTTGTTAGTAGCCGCGAAGTCGATCGTGACTTCGGACAACAACCCCAAGGGTGCCGAGCAGAATAGCCCCAGTGGTGTCCAAGGCAGACTGCCTGCCAAGGTGCCCCTGGCTAGGTTGCACCGCCAACC